AAGTAGAATGAGGATTTGTCGATCAAGCTCTGAGTGGCTGAATTATCAACATGCCGAGTTCAAACGATTGCCTCGGAGAGGGAACTCAGACATTGAACACTGAAGCTACCTTTGCCGAGGCTCTGGCCATGTCAAGGAAATTTCGCTTCAGTTCTGAACCAAGCATAAGCAGAAATTGCCACTGTGAATGTCACTGTTGGTAAACCCGCAAACCTGCATCTGCTCCATGGATGCACTAGACTACGCCCATGCACTCAGCATCCTCTCTGGCTATGTACCGGAAGCCTGATCCCAAAAGCCAAGCCCTAATTAAATGACGCACCCCGAGCCGTTGAGCTGCCGACCAAAGCCTGGCAGTTTTCACCAGGAGCTCCCCGTCGATCGGTGACGTCCTCATCTCCTCCCAAGGAAGCTTAAGTCACGTGCATTTCGGGACTTGGCAGGTTCGTTCTTTCTGTCAGATCAACGAAGGCCGACCTGCAGCCAAGAAACTTAAAGAAATCACATCTGCAGTAAATATCTGGGCCAAGTTGAACCATGGGCCGTATTGTGTGCAATCTGGCGGTTGGACTTTAAAGCTTCGTGCGAATCCTACCAACGCATGCCTGCTTGTGCATGAATGTGTGCCGGGTCTTGCGTAACGATGCATCCAACAAAAATAAAAACTGCAAAAACCTTCATTCCGAATCGCGAAACACCGAAATAACGAGGGCACGGTGCGTCGACGGACGCGCCGTAAGTGTAGCTTAGAATTCGCTCTACAGGGAGGAGTGGCCCGAGGCCGGAATTTGATACATGCCAAGCGCAGGTTGAACAACTTCGAACAGCCTGTCCAGCATGCAAACTTGTCGGTCGTTCTGGGTAAGGCTAATCATAATTCATCATAATTGGGTAAGCATCCCAAGTTTTCTCTGATGACGCCAGTATCTATTCCCTATCTCGTCTTCGACATCAAGTTTATCAATTTGAGCATGTATTGTGCATGTTCATCTGTTTGTTTATGTGTGCCAATTCTCATGTTTCACAATGACGCAGTCTGCGGTGCCGGCATCCCCGTGGTCCTGATTCACCAGCTCCAACCTGGGCAAAGGCTTAGCCTTCAGGGCACTACATTTGCGAATACAAGTAATCTTCATCGAACTGTCACAACAAACGGTCGTCCTCACAAGCACCGTAATTGCCATCACCATCACCATCATCGTCATCGCCATCGTCATCATCATCATCATCCTACTCCTCATCATCTTCTTGTTCTTCAACATCATCGTTCTCGTGTTGTCGCTCGCCGTAAGAACAGCATCAGTAACAGCACCTAGTGAGCGCAGAAATAATGGAAAAAATCAGCAGATTGTGCGGCAATACTAACATGAAGTCAGAAATCTCTGTATGAACAAACATATAGACGACATAACGACTTACCAGCACTGCCCAAAACTCTTCTCAAGGATTTCGCAGAACAAATGCAAAAGAATGCGAAATAACGGAACACTGCTACTTGGTGCGTGGCACAGCCTCCATGCCACGTGCGGCCATAAGACGCCTGAAGCACCAATACCCACAAGAGCAAACAACGGTCCACACTCAGGTCATTGATAATGTTGATGAGAAACGGACCCACTTGCACACCACACTACACGAGTGAGAGCAGCGGCACCTACGAAAAGCTGGTGCGGAGATAGGCAGAGATGTGGAGAGATGTAGAATTCCCTCGGACCATCTGAAGGACGTCTGTTTCTTGCTACGACCCAGTCTCCCCTGAAGCTTTTCTTTCACCACAGGGATTTGCAAACTCAAGCGTTGACACGGGGTGACTGGAACCTCGTTCTTCAGGGCCCATGAAGTAACCTCTAAAGAGACTTCCACATCTTTGGACATGGGGAAGTTGGCCTCTTCTGCAGCTGGAAGAGTGCAAGAGTCACGGCCTCGCTTTCCGCACTTCCAAGGCATAAAGCGTCAAGCGATCTCCAACCCACGACACAGCAATCACACTCAAACAGCATGATCCTCGGACTGGGCTTGTCGGCAAAGTATCAGGCCTTGCCTTTTCTCTCTAGACACCAGAACACCTGCTGCCAGCCTTCGCCTTGAATGCCAGCTAGCGGCATGCTTGGAGGGAGCGCCCCTTTTGGTTTGCAAAAGATGAATCCCTGAAACTTCTGAAGACTCGAGCTTCGCTGACGCTCTGAAGCTCCTGGAGACTCGAGCTTCAGAGTTTCAGGAAGAAAATTCCTGAACCACCCCTGGCAGGCAATCCACTTTCGGCTCCAAGCGCATAATGTTGTGACGGTCATGGCCCTGTAGACCCTGGTCACTAGGATCCGAGCAGCCTCCCGACCCCCGAAACCACAGGCCCCATACATCTCAAGCCTGGTCAACACCTGAAGCACCAACACACACACACACACACTCACCCTACCTACCTACCTACCTACCTTTGAAGTGTTAGCCGGGCTCCGCTGGGCTCCGTGCGAGGACGCCTCGAAGGCCGGCCTCTAAGAAGATGTCCATGGCCTCGCTTCCAGCAAAAGTCCGGGAATGCCTGAGCCAGCCTTCCCCTGGGCCCTAGCCTCTGGACCTCGAGCTGCGTCCTTCGGAGAAGCCCGAACCAACAGCAATACGCTCGAACCTCCTACATTTCAATCTCAGGGCCTCGATGACTGCGGGAAGAGGGAGCCATTTCCCTGGCGTACTTGTGAGCTTGAGATTTCTGGCAGTCTTGAGATAGAGATCCTCGACTCATGACTCAATTGGGATCCCCAAGCAGCTTGGGGCGCATGAAATCGTGCTCGGCTGCTGGCGGCTCGCTCAGCTGTTTGCGGCTTCGGCTGAGAGCTTCTGTGTAATTCGAGGGAACTTCTTTAGAAAGTCCTGCTGCAAGTCCGCAGCTTCTGGTCGGGCGTGGCAACAACAAGCGAGTAAAGGATCTCAATTCATGCCACCTCGCTGATATTCTCAAGACTGCCTCATTCCGTTCATGTAACGACCAATCAGCAGCAAACACCCTGAAGACGGCTCAGAGAAGCAAGCCGCGGTGCACCGAAAAGAGAGAGCCAACCTCAGAAAGTGAAAGGAGTGCTGATTCAGCGAATTGTAAGTGCATGGGGCGTGGAATGCTTTTTGCCTGCAGACATCGACTAGAGGTGAGGATGTTTTGGGCACAAAGCGTGGGCATGTGGTTCAGGGGTTATTCTGCCCTCGAGATCCCGACTAGACGCCTGGCCAGAAAAGGAACGCACAACGCAGTACAATCCGTAGAACAACCCCGACAGTTAGAGCGCTTTTGTCCCAACAAGAGAGCTTCGAAGAGAAAGCAGGAGACCCCTATGGCCACCCAATCTGTAGTTGGTCATCATCTTGGAATGGCCTGTGTTTCAACATGGAGACCTGTCACAATACAGAGGATGCAACAACGGTGGGTTTTAGTTGGGAGCGACGCGAAAGACCCTCGCCGCAAGGCCTGCAGCAAGGTTGATGTTTAGTGTTTAGTTTTGGGATGTGGGCTTCAAGACTTCGAGTTTCAAGTCTACAACACAAGGGCATGCTTTGCGCAACAAGCTCATCCGCTTGCAGGTGTCTCTTACCGGGCATGAGACTCCCACATCAGATCCCCAAACCGTGGCGATGGCAAGTGGATGCATTGTTCGCTCTCGAAATGGAAAGCTGAGTCTAGAAGAGGCCGCGAAGCGACTCAGGCGATAAATGGAATGGAGCACCATCTCTGCAACCACAACTGTGACAAGAAGTACCAAGAACAACTGCTAAAGAAACCGAAGCTTTTAGCACAGGCCTCAGATTCCCGATCCACCCTCTGAGATGAGCGCCATTGGGCACATAGCTGAGAGTCAACACGCCACAGCCTCGTGGGGAGGGGGGGCAGGGGCAGAGCCTTCAAACAAGCCGTCAGCAGAACGGTCCAAACCGAAGTTTAACAGGGTACACGATGACGATGATGCCATGATGGCTGTGATGGTGATGGTGATTTGAGGCTGTGACCGTGACAGCGGCAATATGCAGCAAAGATCGTGGTGCTGACGAGGATTCTGATAGTGTTGATGGCGATGAGGCTATGAATGGTGTTGAGACTGAAACTGCTGATGATGATGCTGTTGCTTATCATGCTGCCTGCAATTACACCCGATGATCTAGAGCACAGGAATATTACTACTGGTGACAACGTTGGTGGTCTTGATGACTGACCATGATACTCACTACTACAACACTACCTGCACCAGCGTCGTCTTCGTCGTCCTTTTCGTTGTCAGTGTCCTCCTCCTCCTCCTCCTCCTTCCTCATCGTCTTCCTCGTCCTCCTCCTAATCCTCCTGCTCCTGCTCCTGCTCCTCGTCTTCCGGATCCTCCTCCTCGTGATCATCATCACCATGATCATGATCATGATCATGATCATGATCATGATCATCATCATCATCATCACGAACATCATCGCAACCAGTTATGTATCACCAGCGCCATCACCGTCCATCGCCACCACCATTAGCATCAGCATCAGCAGCAGCAGCATGATCATGTCTGCACTCCCCACCGAGAATGTTATCATCGTTGCGATATCCTCCCTGCAAAATCTTATAAGTTAAAGGACGAAGCTCTTTGGGGAAGCTTTCGGACTTTTAGGGTTTCGAGGTCGATGCACTCCTCAAGAGCTTCGGTTGAGAACGGACAGCGCAGCTTCGAAGACAGTCGATACGTACAATCTCGTTTCTTCACAAGCTCCGACAGCTTCGGGTGCTGTGGCGCGGCCATGCCTTCTGCCACTCACAAGGTCTGTACCGATCTCAGCAGTAGACTCAGTAGACTCTGCAAGTCGCAGAGAGCGGGTGTTGACATTCTTGCACTGTACAGCCGCTCCCGTCCAGTGGGCTCTCTACAGGAAAGGTGCGGAACCCTGCTTTAAAGGCCGCACTTGTTTCGACGCCCAGAGGCGAAAGAGCGCACAAAATAAACATAAAGATCTGCAAATGCACCACCAGCTTGCGGCCTCTTCGCTCAGATCAGGATTGGCGCGTCGAGTGCCCGAAGAGACCGGGATTTGCTGAGCGCAGCCAGGGACGGAATGGTGGTGTTCCACATCAGCTCCTGCGCGTCCAAGCTATTAGCAGGGCTTGGTACCTGGGGAGTCGGTCAAAAGAATCTAAAGGCTCTGCTCCACCGGGGTTTGTATGCTCCTCGGCATCCAAACGGCCTCCCCGCTTCTCGGCACGTCTTGGTCCTTCCAGGCGCAGGGCCTTGAAGGAGAAGCCGTCCTCGGCTGTCGGGTGCTGGTCAGTGCTGGTGCTATGCCGTTATGCTTTAGGAGAAGCCTGGGCTTAGAGGGCGCCATGCCATCTCAACAACGGGCAGGGGCAAAGGTAGCAGCACCCCCAGCACCGCCACGAGCAGCAACCACAACGGGCCAACAACCACAACAAGAAGAAAAACAACAGGAACAACTAGAATCAGAACAACAACTTGACAAGACTACGACTACCATTTTTGCGAGTAAACTTCTGGTACTATTGCCATCAGCATCTGTGCTGGAACAACACAAACCGACAAACAAACAAACGAACAAAAAGTTCGCATAAATAAAGACACGGAGTCATTGAGGTCTGCATCCATCAGGTTGTACCCAAAGGTGCTGTTGCAGTATGCGGAGGTCGCAAGCCGGGCACCCTCAAAAGGCGGCGGCAGCACCAGGTCCAAGCCTACCGGCCCGTGAGACTTGCCGAGATACGGCTGCAGTCTGCTTCCGCCGTTGCCCACGATCCTCGATGTAACAGGGTTCCTACGCCCGGTCCAAAATTGCAAAAATCCGGAGGAAAACACCGCAGGCACATAGCCAGCACGAATCTACCCCTGGACCCCCCTGAGCTCATCCTTCATCTCCCACTTATGATTGCGCGGCTATGGCTCAGATGCAACGGCAATCCATCGACTTTGAAGGCTTGGAACATGTGGACATGGCCATGGATGGAGGCGGAGATATCCTTGCAGGTCAACAAGCTCAGGGTTTTAGTATCTTGAGGAATGAGCGATTGAGGATGGTTCGGGGTTGGAGGCTCCGGCTGGTTGTTCTTAGAGCAGGCAATTCCCGCGGCCTTGTAGGTGTTGTTGCTGAGCGCCTGCAGGGCCGAGAGAGCTCGGGGAGGATTGAGGTAAGGGTGGCCGAGACTGGTGTAGTCTAGACGATGGAATTCAGGATCGCGGTTACAGGAGGAAAGCTTGCCAAATCTTGCGAAGTACCTGCTGCAATGTCCACTCAATGGCGAAGAACTTGCCCTGGTGGCAAACGAAGCCAAAGATGGGATGGTGGCTGATTAAGAAGTGTGTCCTCCCCGGCGTCCTCAGCTTCTCCGACTCCTCAAAATGACGGCGGTAGATCTTCACCTGCTCCAGAATCTCAGCCTTTGTCAGACTCTGATTCGGATCATCCAAACGGTTCAACGTCCCGATGTTTCCTGTGGGACTTTCGGGACACTTGTCATCTGTTTTGACATCATCAACCATGGCAGTGTCCAGGATAACAAACTGCGCGTCGGCAAAAGTAATGGCATAGGGATCCGTGTAGTCCTGAGAAGGCTTCAGCCGTCGTAGCACTCTGACTCTGACACTTCCATACTCACAGCCTTGATTCTCCTCTAGGTTCTTCGACCATGACGACTCTCAAAAGCTCCGTTCACTAGGACTACCTGAAGCTGTGCTACAGCAAGGGGTCAGGGTCCTGGCAATACTCCCCACCAATCATCTCCGGATAGGGCCGGGGGTCGAGCAGCAGAAAAAAGCCATTGCCTAAGTTGCTGTCGGCATCCGTCAGCTTTGGTCGTGTGGAGGTTTGCATGCGCATGTCGTGGGTTAATCTGCAAGAAGAAGGATGACTTCATGCATAACTCTCGAGAGCAGCTCAGACGCCACCCCGCCCACACCGCTCGTGGTTGCCCCGAAGAAAAATCCACGGAGCGGCTGACAACAGGCTGAGGCTGGGCTGGAAGAAATCTGCATACCAGCCGTTCCAGTTGTCACCCCAAAGCCTCGACTAGTCAGATTTTTGGGACGGAACGGCTCTTTGATTTGGGATTGAGCATGTGGCAGACAGAGGGCCTCGAAGATGGTGGCATCCAGACAAGCATCATACACACTTCCTAGCTGCCCTAGCTCGCACTCTACTTCACATGCTGATGGTTCTGTCAGCAAGCATAGCTGCCTTTTCATAGTTGTGCCGCATGTATCACATGCTTTCCAATTCCGTTTCACGATCATGTGCTGAACGGAGTTTACGGCAGAACTAACACCGCAAGGTGCTTCTTTTCAGACGGCTTGAGCCAATGTCATGCGTATATATACATGCTATGTGAAACATGCTA